GCTCCACAGAAGAAAGATGAGGTTTTTGCTCCCATTAAGATTTAGTCTTACAGGGTTGCTATTGGGGGATATATATATATACCCTATTTATTGTATTTGGGTAATCTTTTTTTTTTGTATTTCCTGAAGTAAAGACTTTATGATCTCTCTTTCTTTGCTTACTTCCTGAAGTGAGTAAAGAATTTATGATCACTCTCTTTTTCTTTTCCTAAAGTAGGAATGCATGCCTCAAAAATTTGAACTAGTCAACCAGGTGAGGGAAAAGATTGTGCGGTCAAATCCCTAGCCAATAGGGTGAGACACAGCCTTGAGACTTGCGTCAGGGATTAGAAATCCGAGTGGACTGACGTGTTCCTGTAGGTACGTCTATGCGCACGCACCCTCTTGCAGGAGTAAATTTTGCTTTGCCAAGGTAATTTAGTCTCACCGAATGTCTTTTATGCGACATCGGGATTCATTTCTAACACTATGAGTCAGAACCGACTCAGTGGCACACAACCACAACAACTTGTAATTGAGCTAAGAATTTGAAGCCTTGAGTCTGGTTTCCCCTCACTTTCTCCAGCACAATTAGAAACCACCAGCCCAGGTCCTAGATTTGAGTAAAGTGACCTATGATAGCCAATATATGACCAAAGGGGTCCTGGTGTGGCGCTGTGGGCTAATTAATGCGCTAGACTGCAATGTTGGTTTGCATCACAAGGTCAGTGGTTCAAGCTCACCAGCCATCCTTGGAAACCCTTTACAGGATTATTATGGACCAGAGCTGGCTGTCCTGATAGAACTGTATCCTGACTCATTCTTTATTGTTTTTTAAAACTTTTTGTGAATCGTTTTCAATTGAGTGAAGGTTTACAGACAAAATTATTAGTTTGTTTCATCTCAATGATTGCAATCTCCTTCGTGCACCATCCTGATTTTTGTTTTGTTTTTTAAAGCTTTTATTGTGAATTGAGTGATAGTTTACACAGAACATCAGTTTTGCACTCATCCTGTTGTATTTTGTTTTATTGCAGTGATTACAGTCCCCTCCATGCATCATCAGTTAACAGTATTTGCTTCTATTCCCTTTTTTGTTTGTTTGTTTGCTTTGTTTTGGGCATGTACACAAAAACACACAGGAATATATAATCATTTAAACAACCAAAGGGCACGTTCTATGAGCCAGCCTCCTGGCCACCAGCACACAGCCTTTCTCTTTCCTGAGTCTATAGAGTCCTCAGCTGCTCTATCTCTCCATGCCATCACCTCTGTCTCCATCTCTGGTGTCACTGCTTCTCTGGTTAGGGTCCTATGTTCTGCTCATGCTCTTCTCTCTTGATGGTCTTAGGGTCCTCTGTTTCTGGAATGTAGGATTAACTACTCCCCCTTTTGTTACACAACTTTTTACCTTTATAGTTGTGACAATTGCAATTAGTCATGATAACAATTACTCACTATTGAATCAAGACTTTTATCCCCATCTCCTTTCACCAGACTCATCTAGACAAGAAGTGAACTATTCATTGGGGATTCTATCTGCCCCCAAACACTCTAAAACTAAATTCCCTCTTGAAAACTTGTAAGCCAGTCACTTTGTGCCTTTATAACACCCCCATTTTAGGTAGCCAACGTCTATTTTGCCTGTCCCAAGTCCTGGTGTGGTGCTCTGGGCTAATGTGTCAGACTGCAAAGTCGTTTGAATTGCAAGGTTAGTGGCTCAAACTCACGAACTGCTCCTTGGAAACCCTATACAGGGTTTCTATGGGTTGGAATTGACCCAACAGCACTTAACATCACTCCTGTATACCGAGGCTTGGTCGTTGAGGGGAAGACTCTGTTCCTCTCAGTTGGTATTTTGAGCCACTCCATCCATAAGTATAGGTCAAGTTCATCAAATTGTAGCAAGTTACACTTGCTTCCTTTATCAAATTTCTGTATCTTCCTCTAGTTGAGGTCTCATCATTAAGCCATCAGAGCTAGGTCAAATGGGTATTACCTGCAAGTTTGGGTGTCTTTGTATGTTTCCCCCCAACTTCATATCAGCTGGATGCTTCACTCTCAGCTCTAGTCCTCCGTGGCTAGGTCAGTGTCCATGGGCTCAGGAATTCCCAAATCTCCCCAAACTTCAAACCAACCAGCCCTTCCTCTTCTCTTATCTCAAGGTCAACAGAAGTCTGTGGAACATAGTTGAACTCAGTCATATCTTCATTACTGACTTCCCCTTACTTCTACTCACATGTAGACAAAAATGTGGTCACCAGCAAGCTTTACATGTCTTACACGTGTTCTATTTTTGTCTTGGAGTGGGGGGTCCTGACTTTTTTTTTCGGTATTTGTTTCCTTTTATTTGGTCCTTCTAATTGTTTGCTGCCATCTAGTGTAATAAAGTTGGTACATTGTGTTGTTTGAAATTACAATGACACTTGTTTTTTTTTAAACTTTAGTTTACATAGCAGATCATCTATACATACAATAATTCATAATTTTGTTTCATCACAATGATTGCAATCCCCTTCATGTTAGTTATTCTATTTCTTCCCTCTAGTTCTTTTTTCTCAACCCTTCTGAACTTTGTCCTTAGGCCAATGTTGCCATTTTCATCTTGAACAGTTGACCATTCCATGGTAAGCGTACTTTACTTATGTACCACTTAGCTAAAAATTGACCCATGAAGGTGAATTCCCTCATAGACCTGAAGGGTGGTTGAGGGCCAGTTTCAGGATCCTCTAGTCTCTGACCTGTAAGCCCAGCCTATTATATGCTGTTGCTAGCTGCCATCGAGTTGGTACGAGTCATGGTGACCTTATGCACAGCAGAACGAAACACTGCTCGGTCCCATGCCAAACTCACTATCGTTGCCACGCTTGAGCCCACTGATGCTGCCACTTTTGTCAATCCATCTCACTAGGGGTCTTCCTTTTTCTCTGACGCTCCACCCTACCAGACAAAGACAGACTAGGAAGGAGTGATGAACTACTTCCTAATATTTATTTAGTCACTGAAAACTGTATGAATAGCAGAGCCTATTATATATACATATAGAATTCTAAGTTTTGTCCCACATTTTCTTCCACTCTATCTGGGTCCTTCTAATGGGAACCTTTTAGAGCAGTTGGTAAGGGTAACCAATTACCATCTAGTTCTTTAGGGTTCAGGGCCATGGAGATTGATGGTCATGTGTTCCATTAGTTCATTGGATTAATTGGTTCCAAGCAGCTTCAGTTTTCCTCACTCTTCTTTCTTCTGCACATGGAGAGATTAATAGTTGTACGTCACTGATTCACTCTTGATTCTGAATTGCTGTTACTTCCCTAAGCGCGTCGTGGTGCGATATTGTCGGATATGCACTCAATTGCAAGGTTATTTTGAACCTCAAGGTTGGTGGTTCAATCTCACCAGCTGCTCCTTGGAAACCCTATACAGGGTTGCTATTGGCTGTAATTGACTTGATGGCACCTAACTTCCCTAATAAATGCCATAATCGTTAAGTACGCTCTGTGAGTTATAAGTCAACTGCAGTGAATTAGGGAAACCCTCACACACACAAAAAAAAGAGCACCGTGGGAAGTTTGGTTATGTGAGAACTGATAAAAAAGGTTAGAGGTTTGTCTGAGCTGCGCCTCACAGGAATTGGCCTTGGACAACTGATCTGATCCTTTCTCCCTGTGTAGTCCAGCCCCCACATGTGACCGAGCAGACTGCCCCACAGGGTCTTCTAGGTTGTGAATGTTTTTGGGAGATCACTAGGCCTTTCTCCTACGGAGCCACTGCATGCCTTGGTGGCAGCCTTTTCCTGGAGTCCCGGTCTACTGATTCTCCAGAACAAGCTTGACGTTTTAAAGCCAACTGCCTACGCAGCACAGCAGTGTATGTTCCTCAGGATTATTAAGCCATGGAACTTTTATTCTGACACCTTGATCTTGTTGTTGTTGTTATGTGCCATCGAGTCGGTTCCGACCCATAGCGACCCTGTATAGGGTTTCCGAGGGTGTAAATCTTTACGGGAGTAGAAAGCCTCATCTTTCTCCCGTGGAGCACCTGGTAGTTTCAAACCGCTGACCTTAAGGTTCGCAGCCCGATTCGTAACCACTACGCTACCAGAGCTCCTTAGGGAAATGTAAAATAGGCTATTGAAATGTGTTTATTAGCAAATGGTTTAAATGATGCTCAGTTTCTTTACACTACGCTTGTTCATTAGTTCAGGAAATGCTGACACAATGCAAGTATTCAGTCTCAAAGCAAATAGGAAATTTGCTTGCAGTTTTAAGTTCCTCTTCAGATTTACTTTACCACCAGAAGGGTCTTGTGAGACCAGACTCAGTTTGGCCTTTTTTGTCCTGTGTTTTGCAGAGAATTTGCACAGTGTTTCCATGAGTCCTTCTCCAGTGGCTAAGCTTCACTCAACACCCAATCTGCCAACATCTTTCTGAGCCGATGCTTTACCACAAAGTGGCTGCAACAGTTCTTTTTACACCAATCTAAACATCTGGCTAAGTTTGTTTTTTACATGAAAATGGGAATGTATCTGGAGTGTAGTCTGTGGTTGCAAGGCATCGTGCAGATGGTCTGAGAAGCCAAGACTGATTGGACCACTCAGGGCCTGTCCTTGTCCTTCTTGGTCCCTGGGCCTAGCCCCATGGTCCCTGCCTGGAGACCCTGTTCCCCTGGGAGCTGTAGGGTGCCTTCTAGCCAGGCCGCTCCCAGTGTAGGAAGCCGGGGGCCTAGCAGTGGCAGCAGCGGCGAGCTAGCTGAGCCTGGACCCAGCCCTGTAGTCGACAACAGAGATAATAAAGAACTTCGGAGCTTATATTCTAAGGGAACCTTTATTTAGTCTTCATTTCAAAGCAATCTAATTTAAAAACAAGTTGAAGTGAAGGTCAGAGAAAAGAAATGCACACAAAGACCTGCCTTGAGATAGAGAGATGTTATGGACGGACAAACAAAAGGAGACGGGGGAACAGACAGACCCACTGACAGACAGATGTGGGGAGAGGTGGCCACTGCTCAGTGACTCCTCGTCAGATCTTTTCCATCTTTGAAATCAAATCGTCACAGATTCTGGTCAGCTCATCATTTTCTTTTGTCTGAAGAGAAAAAGAGGACTCACTGGGCTTCTGCCGAAAGCTCCGAAGAGCAGCAAGCTGGTCCCGGAACTCTGCCCAGCGGTGAGAGGCCCCCCTCCTCCTGGCCCCCTCTCAGGCTCCTGAGAAGCCCCCACGCGGCTGTACCTTCTGCTCAATGGTCTTCTCCAGCGAGTGGACACGCATCTGCTCCTTCCTCAGGCCTGCCTGGAAGGCCAGTGCCTCCGCCTGCGCCTTGCTGCGCACCTGCGTGATCTCCTCGTTTGCTCTGGAGACACAGAGGCAGGAGGCTGAGCCTGGTGCACACTCAGGCCCTTCTCAGCCACTTGTCCCCTGTCCCTTACTCCAAGTACTCACCGATTGAGCTTCTCTTCCGCATGGGCCTTGAGCGCCTGGTATCTCTGGTTTTCCTTCTCAATTCTCACTATGTAATCCTCAACACACTTCTTCAGGGACTCCTCATTCTTGAAAGGACATGAGACCATCAGTGGTGACCAGTGAGCAGCCCCAGGGCAGCACTGTAGACCCTCAAGGCACTCTGGGACATTAACAGCCAAACCCAAGGGGACCTTAGAAAACAGTACTGTCCATGATTCTATCAGAAAAAGGTCATGGTTCAGCCTGTCCTAACTCCAGACCAGACCAGGGAGGCCAGGCCAGGGCAAAGCAGGATGGGGCGGGGTGGGAATGAGCAGGTGAGTACTGCTCAAGCCATGGCTGAGCCCCACTGCCCACCCAGGCTCTCCCCCAGGTGCAGCCGTCACCTGGGACACCCCCAATGTGGTCAGGATCCCCCAGCTTCTGCCACCAGTTCAGGATGACCCCTGTATCTCTGCTCTTTGAGATGGCCCCACATCCTCAACAGTGGTTGTTCCAACTGCACCTGCGCCCGCTCTGTGCCACACCCCACACACTGCACCCCAGGGGTCCTGACCACATCCCACACACTGCGCCCCAGGGGTCCTAGTCCTCCCAGCGATGGGCCCCACCGGCTTCCAGCTGCCTGTCAGCACCCGTCCTTCCTTTGCTTTGAGATGCCTGCCTGCTAGTGAAATCTCAGATGATTCTCCACAAACCCCTCAGCAATTGAGCTGGTTATGAGAATGCTAACTTCCAGCTCAGTTCTCCCCTGCCCCCAGATAGCGGCTCCTGTGAGCCTCAGTGCTTCTCTTCCTCAGGAGGGGATGCTGGAGGGACAGGGCAGGAGGAAGGAGCTCAGGAGGCTGGGCAGAGCTGCAGTCCGGGGGTCAGTGGAGTGGGTGGACATGCCTCAGTGCAGTGACAGTGAAGTCGTGTGCTGAAGGAGGTTATATTCAGAGGAGGTAGACTGGGCTTTTGGACCCACAGTGATGAGACCACAAGAGGGCAGCAGAGGACACGTGGTACCCCACCTCCCTGCACACCGTACCTTGTGGTAGCCTTCGATCACCTCCTTCTGCTTCTCCAGCCGCTTGAAGAGGTCAGAGAAGGACTTCTCCATGGAGTCCAGATCTGCAGTGAGCTGAGCTCGTTCTTTCAGAACCTTCTGGATCCTGGCTTCAGCAAGCTCCTTCTCCTTCTTAGCCTCCTCTTGAGAAAAAGACATGTGGAGGCTGGGTATCACAAACCACCAAGAACATGTCCTGAGGAATGAGGGTGTGGCGGGCAAGGAGGCTCCTGGTGCCCTGACGGGGTCATAAGAGGCTAAGAAAGGGCTGGCAGGCAGGCAGGGGGCCCACAGCAGAGCCCTCAGAGGAAGGGGCCACTGGGGTTCTGCCATCTGCTCCTGGGAAACCAGAGATGCAAAGCCCAGGAGAACTGCCCACGGTCAGTGCTCAGCTTCCCAGACAGGCCAGTCACAGGGCCTCCGCGATACTCCCAAGGCCACATCATTGTGGGGGCTCCCAGGAGCCCGTCCTACATCCAGGCCAGCCCCGGTGTGCCCCACGTATACACAGCCACAACCATGGACGTGGTGGCCAACAGGGGGTGGGCAGCCCATACCACTTGGGCACCACGCCACTGACCTGGGCAGGCCGCCCGGTGCGGGTAGGAGGGTCGGGCCAGGCCTCCAGGTGGGACCCTGCCCCTCACCCCATTCCTGCTGTGCCAGTACCAGTTCAGGGTCCGGCTGATCCGGGGACTGCCCTGAAACTAATGGTAGCCTTTCCCACACGCCCCTCTGACGCGCCCCTCCTGCAGGGGTGTGATCAGGAGGTAGGAGGGTCACAGGACGGAGAACACCCACTCGGAAACCCTGGGCCAACCTGGCTCTGCGAGTGCCCCACACAGCCCAACCTCTCGCGAGGGTGCACTGGGCACTCACCTGTCACCTGGCGTGCAATCCCCTCAAACTCGTCCATGATCTTCCTGAGGGAAGGGCAGACACGGGAGGTCAGGACCCATGGGTGGGGGCCGAGCTGTGCAGCCAGCCTCCCCGTCTCTTACCCCATCTCCTGGTTTCGGGCGTGAAGCTCCTCACACCTGCTCTTCAGCTCCACGTTTTCCAATTGCAGGGCTCGCACCTGCAGACACCTGCCCAGTTGGTGGGAGAGTCGGGCAGCCCACCTCACAGCCCACGTTGGGTATGGGGAGAAGCCACCGCCCAGCTGGGAGTGACATCGGTACCCGTCCCCCCAGCGCATGGTTGCCGAGCGGCTCTCACCGCAGCGTCCAGGTCCTTCTGGCTGTACTGCAGCACATCCACGATGCGGCCCACAGGCAGGGGTGGGCCCCCCGGACCAAGGACACCAGGGGTAGGGCTCGGAACCTGGAGGATGACGGACAAGTTAAGTTGTAACAAGGCTTCTAGCCTTGGCCACAGGGACGCACGCCCGACCCTTGTGAAGGCCTGACCTCCCTGGAGAGGAGCACAGATAAAGCCAGGCCCTGGACCGCTTCCGGACGTCGGCAGCACCCAAGGATGGCACACATAAGCTCAGGTACTCACAGGGACATCCAGAGACCCCAAGAAGTCGAACTCCACCAGCTTAGCTTCTGGCAGACTTCCTGAGGAAGGGGTATTCACAGTCTGAAGGCTTGGAGACAGAGAGAGGGGGTACCAATGACAGAACGGAAGGTACCAATGATTCCACTTCCATCAAGGGTCCCCAGGTGTACTGACGTAAAGAACCAACAAAGTCACAGTTCACACACAGTTACACTCAGAAATGGTTAACACCGGTGTATGCGACGTTGTCTATATTCTCAATGATAACAAAATACAAAAACTCAGTTTTGTTTAGAAAAAAGGAGCATTCCTAGCACTCAGCGAGCCTGAGCCCCTTCTCTCCTGGCTCCTCGCCTTTTTGTCCACTAATGAGCCAGCCTGTCACATGGGAACCCTTGATCTGTTCAGAACCTGCACAAATGCCACTCCGGGGTCCGGCGGCTGTGTGCGCTAGCTAGTGCGCATCGCCCAGAGCTCATAACTTTTCTAGGCAGGTCTGCAAGCGTTTCTCTCCATACCTTGTGGGATGGATGCAGTGCTTAGTTGTCTACCTCAAAGGCATATAAGCAAGCCCTTGTCTCTCTAGAGCAGGGGCTGGGCAAACGCTTGTTTGATGAGCCAGACCACGTTTGCAGCTCTGAGCGGCCCGACTGGTTACAAGGTTCATGTCTGCTGCTGTAGCGTGAAAAGAGCCCCAGACAACCTGGCCGCATCTCGACAGAACTTTATTAACATGGCAGACGAGCGGATTGGGCTTATGTGCCGTGGTCTGCCACATTCTTCTAGAACATTCACACTAGGGAACGGGCTGCCCCTCCTGCCTTGGCGATGACCAGGGAGCAGGAGCTCCAGGCCAGCTCAGGTTTGCTACACTCATCCACACACCTGCACACTCTGGGTTGGGATGACTTCCTTTACAGTTCAGTCCCCTCTGACTGTTGCTTTCCAATGTTCTAGGCTCTCGTTTATAAGACCCGGGAAGAACTGCTCCAAGGGGCTCTGGGTTCCTCTTTCCAAATCGGCTGCTAACAGCGTTAAGGCGGGAGCGTTTTGATGGGTCAAAATGTCCTTTAGCACATAGTCTACCTAGTAACAGGTGCCCTGTCCTGAATTAAAGCTTCAGAGAGCGAGAGGAAGAGAGACAGAGACGGCAGGCAGACTCACCTGCCCTGCTCGGCGGCCACAGGAAGCAGCCTGGTGGGGCTGTCTTTCAGGAGCGGGTCAAACTTGAGGTATAAGGACTGCTTCCTCAAGGCGGACTCCTTAAACTGCAGGGAGCACAGGGGCCGAAGTGACATCTCTCAGTCTCCCTAACCGACATCAGACCCCAGAGATGTGCTGGGTCTCGTGCCTGCTCAGACGGGGCCCTGCTACACGCACCCCTGCCTACTGTCTCCCCAGTGGCTGCTGACCAAAGGCTCTAGCTTGGGGTGAGTGCCCGGTTCTGGGGTCTGCTCACAGGAAGCTACTCCATGCTGTTTCAAGAAAGAAAACTGTGAGAGAAAAACAGATCCTGGAGCGACCTAAATCTTTGGGTGCCCAAACCAGCTAACGTGCTAGGCTGCTAATCGGAGCTCAAGTACAGCCTTGGAGGAGAGGCCTGAGCATCCGCTTCTGAGACCCCAAGAGCACAATTCCATGCTGGTACTTGTGGGGGCGCCAGGAGTCATAGCCAACTTGACAGCAAGTGATTAGCGATGGAGACACAGGCCGTCACAACACCTGGACCTAAGTTACTAATCTCGACCCCAGCCCGAGGGAGTGGGGAGACCTGAACACTGAATGGACAGTGGATGCTGAAGAGCCAGGAGGTGAGACAAACACATAGGGAAAGGCTGCTGGGGGGGCCAGCACTCACCGAGGACGTTCCAAACTGCTCCAGGTAGTCCACCTCAGCCCCCGTGCCTAGGACTGAACGGAGGGGTCACCATGTGGCCACAGAGGCCACCCACAATGCCCACCCCGCTCCAGGGCTATCACGATGGCACAGCCACCACTCTGTCCAGGGGTCTTGCTGCCCACCTTTGGCCTATTTCCCTAGCACATTTAGAGTTTCCATTTGCGAAACTCTTACGGCACAGGCGTTCAGCCCTGGTCCACTGGCAATGCCCAACTTAAGGGAAGTAGGGCAACATGGGTGCCATAGAGTGACCAAGAAAAGCAAACCCACGAATGAGGGAAACCCCCAAACATGGCTCCCCGGCTGACTGCAAGTGGAGGCACACCTGCAGCAGGGTCACTGAAGGTCTCCTTACTGAGGTCCAGGGTTGGCGATGGCTCCACAGGTGTGGCCACCCACTCGTGGGCTGGAATGTTTATGGGGACTGACACCTCTGATGAGCAACTTGTTTCCCCCTGGAAGAAGGTCAGAGGTAGCCTCACCCACCGTTCAAGGGAGGAGACGACTGTGGTGGTCTCCCTCCTCTCCTCCAGTCCTGCTAGGAGCCCTGTGTCACGTTTACACGCTGACACAATACACAGCAGACCCGCCCTCACTGTACCACAGTACCTTGCTAGTCGTTCTTGGTGCCTCCGTGGGGACCTGGGCCTCAGGGGTGCCATCAGGCAAGGCTGAACCCACCTGCCTGAAAAGACAGTCAGCAGGGGTCTGGGAGCCCTCCCTGGAAAGGATCAGACACCCGCAGCCCAGTCCCCTTGTTAGAGACATGAGCAGAGACAAGGAGGCAAGAAACTTGTTAGCAAACAGTGAGACGTTGGGGAAGGTGGAGACAACTTTAGGGCCACTGTAGACAACGTGCCAGCAAGGGACCTGGAAGAAGGTCCAGTCTGCGGAGGAGCAGCAGCCAGTAGAGTGTAGAAAGACAGGGTCCCCACTGAGAGTGTCTGGGCCCCCCTGACTGACCATGTGGCCGGGAAGATGGCTGGCTAAAGACATACTACTTGAGTGAAGCCCTGCCTAGCGGTCAAGGCGTGGCTGCTGGGCTCACAGACTCTCCCGCTTCTCTGCAGCTCTGAGGTCGTTGTAAACACTGTTCTTAAGAAGCACATTCTTTACCAACTAAAGAAATGGGTGACCCTCATTAGAACAGGCTGCTGTGGAAGATGGGGACCTGGCTGGCCTCAGCTGAGCAGATGGACGTGTGTGGGGTCTACCCTCCATCCCTGCTTCTCCTGTGATGCCTCAGGACCCAGCCCCCGCCCTCCAGCCCCCTTGCGTGGGGTGATTCCAGGACCACAGAGGGATGCACACGTGGGCGCTCTGATCCCAGCCCCCACACTCAGACTTACTGACTGGGCGGAAGTGAACTGTCCACGGGGGAGTCTGGCAGGGCCTTGGGTCTTTCTGGGGCTGGGGCCTCTCCAGCACCACACTTGGAGCCACCTCCAAATGGATTGAAGTTGGGGTCATCGAGCTTGTCCCAGTCCAGGCTGTACGACCCCCGGGGAGCAGGGACGGGGCGCTCATTGTCTCCAGTGGCTCCCTGGGCCTGGCCAGTCTTGCGGTTCTTGGAGGGGGGCTTGGTGCCAGGCCTCTTGCCCAGTTTCCTTGGGGGAGGCGCCTTCCTGCAGGCTACACTGTCAGAGAAGTCAAACTCAAGCCTGATGGGCTGGCTCTCTGTGGAGTCGGCCACCTGCCCGGGGCCCACTTCGTTCTGAGGTCCTGGGGCCTGCTCTGGGGACACAGGGTCCGCAGAGTCACCGATAGTGTCAGATGGCAGCTGCTGCTCTTCATCATGAGAAGCACCTGTGTCCTCGGGGCAGGTCACTGGGGGGCCAGGCAACTCTGGGGGTGGGGTATCTCCATGTGTATCTTCGAGGTTCGTAGTGGGGAGTGAGGGGGGCTCAATGGGGGCAGCAGTGTCTCCTCCGGCTGAGGCTCCCACCGTGGCTTCGTGGTCAGCCTCTGTCTTGTCCATGGCCACTGTCCCTACAAAGTCTTCCAGGTTTTCAGACTCCAACGCAACATTTTCATCTGAAGGGGAAGAATGTTCCTTTTCCTCTGAGGCTTCCCCAGGGTGGCCAGTTGTCTGTGCTGGAGACACGGGTGGGCTCTCACGACTTTCTGGAGCATGGGGAGTGACCGACTCGTCCGCATTGCCTGCTGCTGGTATCTGGAGAGCTCCATCAGCGAGCGTGGTGGTGTCCACCTCCCTGGTGAACTGTTGACTTTTTAGAAACACACTCAGTTAGAACTCGGGAAGTTGCTAAGCTGCCCGTGAGCACTGCATACACGTGAAAACACGAGCTACAGACTGGGAAAAAGTGCGTCCCGTAACTCCTTCTCTTCCCACCAGATGAAATCCCGCCTCCATCCCCACAGATAAAGCGGCTGGACCACCTGGGTACAGATTTCTGACAGGTAACAAGACAGGCTTCTGCACTGGTCCATATTCCCCTTGAATTGGGGACACCTGATGGACAGTCAGAGCCAGAAGTCCATGAGGGTGGAGCTCTGCTACAGGTGACAGAGGCTAAGCCGGCCTTTAAGCAAGCAGAGCCGAGTGACTGCAGCCTCCACTTCCTCCCACCAGCCTGCTGAGTCTGGGTGTTGCTTGGGGGAAGACAGGCTTGCCCTCAAGAGTCCTTCTAACACATACAGAGGTCTGCTCCAGATGGCAGGGATGCCCGACAACATGGGCAGTGGACTGGGGATTAGATGGGGAGGCTGTGGGGAGCGAGACACAGGGATGCGGCTATTGCGTCCAGTGGTCCAGAAACAAGGTCATACAACACTACCTCTGAGAGTCCAGGTGAGGGCAGACGGGGCGTGACACCCACCTCCCAACTTCCCTAGTTTAGAAAACTAGTATTAACAATTTGGGAGATGAAAAGGTGGGGAATGCAGAACAGAATTCCACATTTTCATGCACTCCCGACTTTTGGGAGCCATGGAGGCTGGATGAATCCCTGAATTTTTTGCCCTGGGATAATCATTAAACTTTAAAACTCCTTGGGGCTCAGGACCATAGTCTTGGGGGACACCATGGTCAACGGGCATAACACAGTCCCCAAAGACAATGTTCTAAATTCCTACTTGGTGAGTGTGAGTAGCAACTTGGGTATTAAAAACTCAGGAGCAGCCATCTAAGGTGCAACTAATGGTCTCTCCCTGTCTAGAGGAGAGGAAAGAGGGGTGAAGGCCATCAAAGATGCCTGGAAACAATGAGTCTAACGCATGAATGACCATGTGACCCTCCATGCTGCCTACTCTGAGTGCCCTAGAGAGAGAGCCAGGTGAAACGAAATTCCAAATCCTAAAAAAGACAGGCTTACTCCTCGAACAGACATTGGTGGAACCTCTGAGATTATGGGCGTGGAACTGAACTCACCCCCATGACGCAATTTTCAAACAAAAGACGGGTCTCTAAGAGGAGCAATACATTCCTTAGAATACTCAACCGCGTGAGGTCAGAAGAGCAGAGACCAGGTGCAGAAGGGTTAGGGAAAGAGGAATGGAGTGGAAGCATAGGGAAGTGGAAGGAGTGATGGTGCATTTTGGGGATAGCAATCAATAACATGAAACAAAATGTACATGAAGGGCTGAATGAAAAACTGATTTGCTCTGCAAACCTTCACCCAACTCAAGACAAGTTAAACCAAACAACAAACCTCAAATCAGAAGTATCCCCTGAAGTCGTCTTTTCACCAATCAGCAGTTTTGCTTACCTAATAAAGAACGTCAGCCCGAGCAAGGACTGGGCTTCTACTGTATATATGGGATCAAAGTGATAACAGATCAGACTGCGTAAGGGAGGAACTGCTCAGATGCGATGGCAATTCAAAGAACATCACCAGTGTCACTAGACAGTAGGAAGTCACTGGGCTGTAGAACTAGCTGAGTTGACATACGCTCAGTTACATACAGTCTCAACAAGTAAAACAGAAGTTATGGGATGAGGTCTTGCCTTGGCTCAAGCAGACACCCTGGGAACCTGCCATCTGACCCACCTGCTCTCTTAATAGCAGGTGGGGGGACCTCTGGGTTCACCCCCACTTCTGACACGTAGGGGGCAATTCTGACCACACACGAGGACAGTGCTGAGAATCGCAAGACCACTGCAGGGCGCCCTGCTGTCCCTCAGCTTTTCCAGATCAGAATCAAGTGTTTAGAACCCAATTCCCTCGGTCACGTTGATTCTTATCTGCAGATCACATAACATGTGAGGGACGCCAAAAAGCTCATGGATAAACAGAAGAAAAAGATCATGGAATATTCCCACAAACGTAATTTTTCTGTCACTCACAACTTTGTATTTCAGATCGGGAAACCACACAAATGCGGGAGTCAGTGTAGCCTTTTATGAAGATGCACCGAAAGCAAAGAGGCTGCCTTTGCCCCTCCTAAACCTGGAGCCAAAGCAAAGATGCCGAAGGCCAGGAAGGCAGGCGCCGAGAGGTGTCCTCAGCCACAGAACCATGACACCCACCTTCTGGTGGTCCAAGACTGTGAGGCTCCAAAAACAGGCAAAGTATGCCCAGCAGAGTGCCCCCGAGAGACACCATCTTAACCATGATGCTGTCATCAAGGTTCCCTTGACCATGGGTCATCCATGAAGAGACGGAAGGAACCACCACACCAGGTTCACACTGGACCGCAAGGCCAGCCAGCTGCAACGAAGCTGATTATTGGCATGGCCAAGGTCAGCACCTTGACTGGGCCCAATGGAGAGACGGTGGCACGTATTCGAACGTGCCCGACTCTGAGGCTTTGGGTGCCGCCAGCAGAACTGGGAGCATCTAAATGGAGCCCAACTGGCTAATTCAAAGGTAATTTTTTGCAATTCACATATATATGTTGTTGTTGTTGTGAAGTGCCGTCTAGTCAATTTATATATACGTGTGTGTTTTCTCCTAGAAAAATAAATAAATAAATAAAATGCAAACCAAGTATACAATTTGAAATTTTTCTAGGAGAAAACAAAACAAAATGACACTAGTCTTTAACAATGCATTTTAGTTCTCCTAAAACGTGAGCGTTCCAATGTCCTATTCTGGAAATGGACCTTTGGTAAGAGCCCTGCCTTTCTATTGGTTATACCTGGACTGCCTCTGGTAGCTCCCTCTGTCTGCTATAACGACAGCTCGTTGTGGCACTCCATGGCCTCCGGAGCCCTCTGCTATAGCTGTTAGTAACCCTCCCTCTAAAGGTTACTATCTATGGAGAGCTTTTTCTAAGTCTTGGTGTTGTGAACTCAACCGCTGACTCGCATTCGAGAGAGACACAGACAGACAGACAGACAGACAGACAGACAGACAGAGAGAGCAGCAGTGGTGCCCTTCCCCAAGAGCGGGGCTTCTGGGAGGCAGAAGATCCACATGGAGCGACATACGTATGAAATGGAAACAGATTCCAGCACTAGGTCATTCAGCGCCAAGTACTCTAGGCCTTGATGCTGTGGGAGCAGCTTGGAACCCAGGCAGGAGAAGGCCCCCAGATACAGAACAACAACTGAGCCATATCCAGCAGGTCCGCAAGTGAGAAGTATGGGGCATTAACAGCATCACTTACTTGTTCTGTGTCTGGGTGCAGAGGGAGGTTTCCAAGTCAACCGCATCATCCAGAGGGAAAAGACTCTCAAGTTTGCTGGTCATGTTAGGACTTAGGATCCTGTGCGTCTGAGGATCCCGCAGCGGTGTCTGAAAAGTGACCTGTGTGTGGAGCCAGAGGGAAAGAGGGCCCGCTCAATAATTCAGGCTCCCCCAATAATTCAGGCTCCCCCAATTGAGTTGGCAGCAATACACCAGCTCCCTCCCCAGCACAGCCGGTCTGAGCAGGTCGGCACACGTTCGGGTCCCCAGGGGGAGGGGGACGGACTCACCTTCATCGCTTTGGCCATGTTTTTGGGTGGCACATTTTCTTTCTGCGACAGCCGCAAGACAGATGATCTTCCGGTTAGTTCTGGTGGTGAAAACAGGAAGTCGAAGTTCTCGATCGTCTTGTCACTAGTGACGTTTTCGTCCTGTATGATCTGCAGACTCATTCTGGGAAAGCAGACCACATGTGTCAGTGGGAGGGGACAACGTCTGCGTCCCAGGTGTCAGAACTAGGGGTTAGCCCCATTTTCCAGAGGAAAGCAGGTGTGGGCAGAGACCCAGGCGTGATGGCAAGGATATCCCCGCGGGGCACAAGCCCCCCTCCCTTTCTCAGGTTATGTGCCCTAAGATACAGGTTCCTGGTAGTGTGTCCTCTGCTGAGGAGCAGGTAGAGGAGAGGAGCCTGTCCCTCCTCAGGGGACAGGGAGACCAGTGGCAGTGCCACCACCACCCAGACCAAGCGCTGAAAGGGGACGAGTTAGGCAGGCTGTAGGAATGTCTGTTGGCTGTGGGTCCCCAAGTCTGGCTCACAAGAGTGGTGGGATGACATCAAGAACATCAAAAGGTCATTAAAAAGACAGGAAAAAAGAAAAGACCAAAATGGGTGTTGGTAGAGACTGAACCTTGCTCTCCAGTGTAGAGATGCTAAAATAAATGAAAGAGGTAAGGAAGTAAAAGAGCAGAACAGAAAATTTCAAAGCGCAGCCCAAGAAGACAAAGTATTATGATGAAATGTGCAAAAACCTGGAGCTACAAAACCAAAAGGGAAGCATTTCTCAAGCTGAAAGAACTGAAGAAAAACTTCAAGACTGGACTTGCATTTTTGAAAGATTCTATGAACAAAATACTGAATGATGCAGAAATCATCAAAAGAAAATGGAATATACACAGAGTCATAGCACCAAAAAGAATTGGTTGATGTTCAACCATTTCAAAACGTAGCATATGATCACGAACCAATGGTACTGAAGGAAGAAGTCCAAACTACACTGGAGGCATTTAGCGAAAAACAAGGCTCCGGCAGTTGATGGAATACAAATTTAAATCTTTTAACAAACTGATGCAACATTGAAGGCGTTCACTCATCTATGCCAAGTAATTTGGAAGACCGCTACCTAGCCAACAGATTGGCTAGGAAGAGATCCATAATTGTGCTCATTCCAAAGAGAGGTGATCCAACAGAATGTGGAAGTCATTAAACCATATCAAAATCACATGAAAGTAAAAGTTTACTTAATTTGGAAACAGCGACAGTATATCAGCAAAGAATTGCCAGAAACTCAAGCCAGATTCAGAAGAGGATGTGGAATGAGGGATACCAATGTTGGCGCCAGATGGATCCTGGCTGAAAGCACAGAACACCAGTAAGATGTTTACTTGTGCTTTATTGACTATGCAGAGGCTTTTGTATTGTGGGTCATGACAATCTACGGATAACATTGCAAAGAATGGTATCCCAGAACACTTAATTGTGCTCATGAGGAACCACCTGTACATAGACCAAGAGGCAGTCATTCAAACAGAACAAGGAGACACTGAATGGTTTAAAATCAGGGTTGTACTCTTTCACCACACTTATTCAATCTGTGTGCTGAGCAAATGATCTGAGAGCTGGATTATATGAAGAAGAATGTGGCATCAGGATTCTTCTGATCAGGAAGAAGATTGTAACAACCTGCGATATACAGATGACACAACCTTGCTTGTTAGAAGTGAAGAGGACTTCAAATACTTACTGATGAAGAAAGCGCAAAGCAAAGACCAGCCTTCAGTATGGATTGCACCTCAATGTAAAGAAAACAAAAATCCTCACACCTGGGCCAATAAATAACATCAAGATAAATGGAGAAAAGGTGGAAGTTGTCAAAGACTTTATTTTTCTTGGATTCCCAATCAACACTCATGGAAGAAACTATTAAGAATCAAAGGAGATAGATATATATATGAGTCCTGGTGTGGCGCTGTGGGTTAATGCATCAGACTGCAAAGCCTTTGAAGTGCAAGGTCGGCGGTTCAAGCTCACCAGTCACTCCTCGGAAACCCTATACAGGGTCACTATGGGCTGGAACCGACTCGATAGCACTTAACAACAACATATATATATTGCATTAGGCAAATCTGCTACACAACACTTCTTTTAAAAAGTGTTAAAGAAACACAATAAAAAAGTTAAAAAAAAAAAAAAAAGTGTTAAAGAGCAAAAAAATCAGCTTGAGGACTAAGGACACCTGACCCCAAACCAGGGTATCTCCATAGCCTCATAGGCATGTGAAAGTTGGACAATGAATAAGAAAGACCGTAGAAGAATTGATGCATTTGAACTATGGTGCTTGAGAAGAATACTGAAAGTACCAGGACTGCTAGAAAAACAAACTCATCTGTGTTGGACAAAGTATAGCCAGATTGCTCCTTAGAAGCAAGACAAGTTATCAGGAGGGACCAGTCCACAGAGAAGGACATCACACTCGATAAAGTGGAGGGTCATTGGAAAAGACGAAGACTCCAATGTGATGGCTTGGCACAGTGGCATCAGCTGTGGGCTCCAGCCTAACAACAATTGTGAGGATGGCTCAGGAGCCGGCAGCGTTTCTTTCCGTGGCACCTAAGATTGCTGTGAGTCAGAACCGACTGGACAGCACCTAACAAGCCACAAGGCTACAAAGTGGAGTCACGGGAGTGGGTCTAGAGCAGAGGAGAGACTGGTGTGGCTTGCAGTCTGAAGGCTACTCTACAGAGCCAGGGAGACTGTGGTGGCAAAAGAGAAGAAGAAAGTGAGAAGTGGCTGGCACAGTCCTGGTGAGGCCTGGGCTGCTCCAGCCAAAGGGTGGGGAGAAGAGGCTGAAGCCCAGGTTTTGGTGGTGGGTGGTATCGCTGGAGTCCCTGGGAGCTACAAATGGGTCATGTGTTAGCAGGCAGTGCTTGCCTGGGAACTGGAACGTTGCAGGTTCAAGCCCTCCCAGAGGAGTCTCAGAAGAAAGGCCCAGAGATCTAGTTCCAAATAAAGAAAGAAATTGGCCACTAAAAACCTCATGGAGCAAGTTCTATTGACACAAATGGGATCATCGTGAGTCCCAAGTGACTTGATGACAACTGGCTCTTAGTTCCTTGTACCACGAGCAGGCGGAGCTCATGATGCCTCTCGTTGTGGGAATGGCAGAAGCAGCAGGGAGGGTGGCTCCAAGAGGAGGGTGAAGGGGTACTGACTGGGCAGGTTAGCAGGCTCAGCGCAGAACAGAAGCCTGTCCACTGAGCCTGAGCCGTGACACGCAGACTCGCTGAAGGCTGTGGGACTCTGAAGTAGCTGGTAAAGCTGGAGACACACGGAGGCAGGTGGAGAAAAAGCATCAGATGAAGCAGTTGTCTGGCTCCCAGGCAGGTCAGACTGGCCTGCCCGTGACACAGGGTTTACCACCCAGTGGTTACAAATCAGGCTACGAACAGCAAGATCAGCAGTTTAAAACTACCAGCTGTTCTGCGGGAGAAAGATGAGACTTTCTGCTCCCGTAAAGATTTGTAGCCTCGGAAATCCTGTACAGGATTGGTCGCTATGGGTGACAGCACTTAACAAGAACAAGAAGCTAGTAGTAACAACAATCATGAGTGGGATTCAACTCAACAGCCCCACATATCAGTGAGATAAGATTGTCACCACGGCAGATGCAACGGGTTCAAACAAGTGTGAGATGATGCAGTACCAGGCAGTGTCTTCTGTTGTACACGGGGTTGCTATGAGTCAGAACCAATGCAGTGGCTCCCGCCCCACACAAGAAAGTGTCCCTGGGATGATGGTGGCAAAGGCCTGAGTTCACGGGGCTCAGGGCAGAAGGGGGGCTATGGAGACAGCAGATGTAGACAGTCTTGAGCAATCTAACGAGGAGGAGAGCAATGGTTACTAGCTGGAAGGAGGGGTGGTATTTTATTCTGCAAATTAATGTCACATGTGGTATGCTGGTGCCAGGATCCAGCAGAGACTGGCTGGCACTGCGAAAGAGTCACATAATAAGTGCACAACAAAGACCTTGAGGATAAGCATGCAGGGGAGTGCAGTCACGAGACAAAGACGCCCAGGCCGCGCAGAGGCAGCCAGGAGAGGGGGAGTGCTGCGGGGTCTCACCCAGCGCATCCAGATCGGAGCCAGCCAAGAAGCCGGAGCAGATAGGAGGGAGCCGGGGTGACGGGAAACAAGAGGTCCCGGGGCTTTGGTTACCTGTACCCTCCAGCCACGCACTCACCCGTTACTCGATATTACTTACACTTGAGCCCACCACCCCTATCCCCCTCCCAGCACTGCACCGCAGGGCGAAACGCGAACGATTCGACCGCTCCAGCGGGGACAGGGTCGGTGACGGGGGCCCAGAGGCACCGTGCGGTGGGACTGGAGTTCAGGGACGGCTTCCGTGGAAGGTAGAGGCCGAGCAGAGACCCGTGTGTCCCCGAGAGTAGAGGCCCAGTGAGGGGCCCCGCCCGAGGCCGCCCCATCGGCGATGGTAGGCCCTGCCGCCCCCCACCGCCTGGGGCCGGGCTCCTCCCACCACGCCCCGGGAGGGGACTGACCCGGTAGTCTGCCTACCTGCCCGTCCGCCCGCCGCCGGGCTCCGGGACCGTGCCCCGCTTCTCGCCGAATGAAAAGAGAGGAGACAAAAGGGCCTGCTCCGCAGTCGCCTCCGGGATCCGAGTCCAGGCGTCCAAATCCCGACTGCTGCGATGCCCGCCAGAGCTCAGCAGCTCGCCGCGCCCCGCGGATTCAAATACGGACGGTTGACTCCGAGCGACCAATCAGCGCGCGGGTGGTGGTGAGCGGCGCATGAGCTGCGAAGCCAATGGGAAGCCCTGCTGAGTAGGCCCCGCCCTCTGCGCGCACCGCTTTCCACTTACCGGCGCGAGGGGTACGCTGGGAGCTGCGGGCTTGGTGCCCTGACTTCCGTGAGATAGCCGGGCTTTGGGTATCGGAATCCTGAGCAGCTGGCGAAGGGACAAGGGTTGCCCCTGGGTAGGCTTCCTGTAGGTGGCGTCGGGGATGCGTCACATCTACGCACGGGCTCTTACTGCCGCTTAACGCCAACAAGCTGGTGAGGCGCTGTAGGATCAACACTGGACTGTGAACGGCAGTTCAAACCCACCAGCTGCTTTTCGGAAACCCTGTACAGAGTCGCCATGAGTCTTAACC